TTATTATGTATAAAACAACTATACTTATATGCAATATATATATGTATATATATGTATATGTATAAGTGCGACCCAATCTCACTCGGATCCGTAATTTTCGCTATTGTTGATGCCATAAAATAACTAAAAAGGGTTTTATTTATTCAGTGTGATTTTTTTCTTTAACTCAAAAGTAAAAAGTTTGCTCTCGTTTGAAAAGTACTAGTTCACGCGAATAAATAATATAGCAAACTATAAGAAAAAAAACACCTAATTCTTGAACAGTTTAGACATAAAACGCATTCCAGAGTTCTTTAATAGTTAACTAAAATAAAAGTTGTAGGCAACCATTGTGATAGCCGTACACGTATAAAAGACAAAAGTTATTGCTAAGTAATGAAATATTTGTTAATATCGTTCGAGGTAAAAATATTATCAATAATGGTAGTTTTAAGTGATAACTAAAAATACTAGCTGAATTAATACAAATAGAAACCTATGTATTCGATTTTCATAAATAAACAGCAGAATGTTAAAACCACAATAACGGATAGATTATATTATATTATTAACTACTCGATATTTTTATTTTCTAGAAGGTATGTGCTACCATCTGGCCACAGTATAACCTAGTAAACTTTTATACTTTACCGTTATTTATGATGTCAGCCATTCGACTTAACTATAGCCTTTTTACCAGTGTGCCTACCGGCTATCACATCATAAAAATGGCCGTCAAAACTTGGATCCCAACTAAAGTAGTAATAATTCATTAAAAAAGTTAAAATTATTCTAATTTATTTGAAATTACATCTTTAGTTTTCCTATAAAAATGAAACATAAATTGTTATGTAAAATTATCAAGCTCAAAGTAATGTTTAAGGTAAATTAGGTATTATACATTTTATTAACTATATGTCATAAATGTAAAATTTTTATTATTTGGTAAATAATAACGTCAAACAGAAAGCAATTAAATATGCAATCGATATTTACAAAATTTGTATTACAAAAGAAACAATATTTTTACTTGTTTTACGCAGTAAACAATTTATTTTTGGTAGATGGAAGAAAAATGCAATAACCTAATCTCTGTTCCGTTTTATTTAAATAATGAGTAATATGCAAAGCATAAAGCAATATTTTTACATAAAGCAGTTGAAGCGATTTATATAGCGAGGAAACAAATTAAATTCACCCTATTCAGTAGAAACCGTTGCAGCAAATAATGTTGCACATAATTCATGGTAGTAAAAATTTAAAGTAGACAATATTTTAATGAAATAAGAGCCACGAAGTTTGTTTTTTTTTATATCGGTTTTCCAAAATTTAAACATGTATTTATTTTTTTTATTATTATTAAAGTTTATTTTTACTAAAATGGAAGTTCAGTGGAGTTGAAATAATTAATCACAGAATATGAAATAATGTCTGAGGACCAAATAAGGTAACTGTAAACAAATAGGGAAAAATTAATGTAAATGGTATTTTTTCTTTTGTCGACTAAAATCAATAATATTTATTCACTGTGTATAATATTTTATAACATAAAGCTATAAATTAAAAAAAAAATTGTCAAACAGTTTAATTAAAAAAAAATGGCATTTACATTTACCCTATTTGCTGCTTACAAATGTCATTTCAAATTATTTTATAATAAATATCGATTATTCTGATAGATGCAACTGAATTTGTAATTTTAAAATAAAAACATTTTTAAGTTATGTGTTTTTTTGTGCGATATAAAATATTATTTCTTTCAACAAACGTTTATGTCCATTCAGAGGCAAATTAACTTTTTTCTTTTTTCTGAACAAGTTCAAAATCAGTTAAGCTATCAGAATATCATACGGTTAATCAACATTTGTTGTAGTTTTAGCAAAAAATGTAAACTTTAACTTGGTAACGTTTTCAATCATTGACTGTATGTCTATTTTTAAAAACCAATCATACGTCTTATGCAGATTTTCGCATAAGATTTCTCAGTGAAATTGTCTAAACGTTAAGTGGGAGTCGAGAATACTGTACACTTTTATATTAAAAGTAACAATACCACTTGGCTAAGTCTATAAAAAGATACGATACTCGTTTTAATGTGAAAATATTATGTTGACTTTTTAATCTTATCATTGTGGTAAGTGTAGCAATAATACTGTTATTGCCTTCCCAAAACTTTTTTTATTAAACTACCATGTATACGGTAACAATGTTAATGATAAACATAAAATTTACTGAATTTCGCTTAATGTGCATTCACAGCAAAATTAGGTATCAACCTATAAATATAAAATATATGTCAACTGCATTATCATCATATCTATAAAACAAAATAATAAAAAACAGTTTGCCCGTTAGTCTGCTTTGAGCTTTATGGAACTCTATAGTCTAAACTTAAGCTCTTCTTACTGTACAAATGTATCGGGTCAAAGTTACTGGGAGTTGTCCAATTAGAGAGTGAAGATAAAGGTGTTGTGATTTGTGATGATCGAAAACAAATAGCGGTTGAGATAACTTCATTGCTGCAAGTTCATCCGTACAACTTTACCCCTTGGTTACAACTTGATTTTACCTATTAAATTTGAACATATGTTACTTGTAATATTTTTAGACTATCGACCAACTTAACGGCCAACAACTTAATTTTCTATTATTATCTGTCAGGCCGGAAACAAGTTTTGTAAACTGCCAACAGGCATTAACACTTTGTTCTTGAATTTTTCCACTTAAAGAACTTTTTACATTACGCTCGCTTCGACTACTCGAGACCCATTTAAATTACAAACATTATTCTTCAACTTTAAGCATGGTCTTAACAAAAAAAAATGCAAGTATACAATTTACAAAGTAAATAGTTGATATGGAATTGAGTATGTATGATTTATATGTTAATAACAGACAGCTATACATTATGTAACTATTTAAATTACAAAAATACATCAAGATTTCCTTATTATAAAAGAAAAAAACATTATTTTATTGCTTAACAATATTACTGCGTGTTATGAAAAATATTTTTATATCAGTGTGCATTAATATCTACATTTAGTGGCATATAATGTATACTTTCAGTTTCACAGTATAGTTGATAGCATGTTATTAATAATATTTAAAAGGTGAATTATTTAAAATCAACTCTACCATTACAAGTTCATGCATTGTTATAAATATTATATAATACATTGTGTATTTCAATCAATAGACTTACACCGACGTAGGGAAGAAACACTCTGAGGTTTTAATAATTTATTAAAGTATCAGCTGTCGTGTAGGGTAATATTATTATTAAATGAAAAAGATTTACTAAAATATAAGAAAGGCCTTTGATCATATTATTAATAATAAGGTATATACCACGCTATAATAAAATAGTTTTGAACATTTTGTACGTAGTTCTTTTGAAGTGTATTTTTTTTATGGTAAACTAATCTATAAATTATTTATAACACCTAATACAAACGGTATTTTAGTTATAAAGTAGACGCAAGAGCAAAAACAAAATAAGAACATATGAACGAATAATATAAACAACTTTCAATAAGTGTAAACTGTATAGGAGAAACCAGATGGCTGATCATCGATTACTAAATTATATACACATTCGCATAGTGGAATTACACCTAAGTAAAAATGTTTAAATATTTCATTAGATTCGGTGTACAAAGTAAACAATTAATCCATTCTATTTTCGAATATTTTCCACAAATTATGCTACAAATGGTTCATCAACTGCTAGATTGATGGGAATTATCAATTTAAAACCATCTTTCTCCTTCTTTGTAATATAATATTATATAATCAACCGGTTTCATCAATTATCATTAAAATTTTAACTTATTGTTAATTATATTTAACAACTAGTTAGTGAAAATTGGGTTTCATCGAGATTTGTTAGCCTTAACACATTGTTAAATTAATCAATCGAAATCGGCTTGTTAAAAAGTTAATCGGTATGTTAAAATGTATTGTAGTACTTATACGTAATATTTATATTATTATACTTCAGAAATTGTTTCATAGTTTTTGTTGACTAAGTATATTATTATACTTATATTTATATTTAGACCTTTAGTAGTTTAGTTCTTTATATTGAGTATTTAGAGAACTTTAGAAAGGACAACTTCGATAAACCGTTTTTAGGTGAGCAGAAGTTTTTTTATGTAGGCAGATTAGGTAAAAAGAAATGGCAGAGCTTGAATTATAGGTTCAAATATCATAATTTATTGTCTTTTATAATTTAGATAATATTGTTATGTCTTGCCTGTCCTGTATATAACAATGGAAATAATTATTATCACTAATTACTTAGAAAGGTAAAGACTATCTAATCATTGTGTTAAAACATTATACATAAATTATTTATATAAAACAAAACGTTAAAAGAAAGTAAAATAGAATGTCAAATAATAACAAACTGACAAATTAAATAATACAATCACTTATCAGTTATCACATATCTTAATAACCAATGAGAACGTTGGAATCGAGGTAACCGCTTCGGTAACCAACTAACGTTTTGTTAACTTAACACATAGAATTTAACAATAATAATGTTGTGGTGAAACTTATTTCATTTAACCAGATGTTAAATTTAAATGAACTGTTAACTATCATTGTGTTAAGAGTGTATTTAGCAATATTTGGTGAAACCGGCTGAATGTCTTGTAAATTTACCTTTATTTGTGATTATTAATATGTCAAAACTATGTTTAAATGTGAATAAAAGTATTGCAATGTAACCATTGGGTTACCGGCAGCCCCGTACAAATACATTGAAACAACAAAAATGTTAGATCCATAAAAAAAAAATTAAAACCTTCTCACTACCATAGAAACAGTTCTGCGATCCTTAACAGCGTTTGGAGAGTTGTTGTAGAAAAAAGTAAAATAAAAGGTAAAAGTGACCAAACGGTTTATGAGCATATAGAGTAAAGAATAACGGTAAACAATTGCTGTAATTATTGTTATTTATTATTGTTGTTATTATTATTATTTTATTACCGTCTTGTTGTTGTTGTTGGCAGACAATTCTTACGTCGGTAACGACCTAAAACTTTGGCGGCTTGACAGGAGACAGACCGGCATTTACTTCTGCATAGCCAGCAACGGTATACCACCCGCGGTCAGCAAGAGGATAACGTTAAACGTTTACTGTAAGTACATACAATTTTTGGCATGTATCTATTTTTTTTTTGTGTAAATAAGTGAAACAATAATAAAAAAAAAAAAATACTAACAGAATAAAAGTTTAAGAAACATTTAAGTGCGTATATCTTTAAATTTACTTTAATCCAAACGAACGGTATAAGTACTTATTCGTCTTTAATAAACACTGTCATAATTTTTTTTTTTTTGAGGAATTACATAGTATTATGCCCGGTTGCACCAAACTTGTTGTTATCTATTGGTAAATTATTTAACACTGTAATAAACCAACTTTTGTTAAATTGACACGTGTCAAATTTTCGATTGTTGCTCAATCGTTGTTTTATATTCAGGTTACTACCAGTTTACTGGTTATCGAATAAATGGTATCAGCAGTAGCAGAGTTTAAAATATTATTATCATACAAGATCTTATCAATGATAAACTGATAACGCACATTTCCATTATCACCACTTTAACGCAAAACATTGATAAGAAAATTGTATACATACATTTTTTACACAGCGATAATTGACCCTGTAGTTATAAATGAACTCGTAATAAAGTACATTTTTAACAACAGATAAAATTTAAAACATGGTTATGCAGCAGAATTTATTTAAACTTCATTTAACATCTTTGTGTAAATATCTGGTACAACCCGACATTACTCTATCAAATAGATACGCAGAACATTTATACTATATAGTTATATCGACGCTCATATGTTAAGCCTGTATTACAGTTCACTATATATTAAACTGAAACTTAATACTAACGGATACAATTTAGTTTCAATAGTTCGGCGAAAAGCCACAAGTAACTATTAGCTATGCCGATCTCGAGAACGTAGATAGGGTAAAGTTGAAGACAAAATTTAGAGATACCGTGATAAGCAAAATACCTGGAATGCCAACATCATGCGTTAAGTGAATTTGAATAATCTGTCATGTACTCGACGTGCATGTTAAATTGATTCATAACATTTTACACACACTATCTCAAAGTTTGTACTTACTTCCCTTGGCTACCGTGTGAAACCACTATTTTAAATATCAAATATATAATTAGGTGTGTACGTTGTAAAATTACAAGGTATGCAATTTCAGTTTTATTCCCAATACCTTTTTTAAAAAAAAAAAGCAGCTAAACTTTAACAAAACAAATTCTGCTGCGTTTTATGTTTTTTTAGCTTCATATAATAATTCATAGCTATATTATACCGCCAAAATAAATAATAATGTATGTCGACACTATTCCTAACAAGTAATCATTAAATTAAAGCAGATGGTCTCGTAAATTTTCATTAACGAAATGATATACTGCAATAATTAGTAAACCTCGAACAATATATGTATATACCGGTGGTATGTGTACCCCTATGTGTTGCCCTTGAATTTATGGAAGTGTGACTGAATTACTTACACCACGCCATTAGTTTTCAAGGCCCGTAAAGGTAAAATAGTCGCACGTTAGTGTTAGAGCCGAAAATTTTCCCATAAAAACAAGTAATTGCTTAAGAGGCTGCGGTTCGGTTCAAGTAACTATATTATGCTCTATCCAGTGCTTAAGGTACTAACCGTTATGAGAGTATACAATAAATATTATTTGCAATTAAAAATGCACATTGCTTGAGTAGGAAAAAAATACATTAGGTCACCCTTTAAGTATGCTAGTGTATCAAATGTATCTCTAAGTATGACCTTAACCTGTTCGCTTAACCGTGGAAACCGTTAATTAATCAACCATTGATTTTATAACATTTTTAACATCAACGCTAATTAATTATTTAGATGATATAGTAACTATCGTCAGCTTGCTTTCTGAAATCTGATGCCAACTACATTAAATAATTATCAAACTTGAACCCCGGCAGAGACAGACTCGTGGAAAAAACACTTTTAGACACACCCTACTTAAAAACTATTATAGACTGTAATAGCCTTACATATTTAATTGAAGACAGTTCTCTTTTTTAGTTTGTTTTTCGTTGGCGGACAGGCCTAATTCGGGTTTTCCTAAAAAGCCATCCAAATTACATCCCTTTTTTTGACGGTTCTTACATTACTGCTATAGCAGTAAAATTTAAAAGTGTCCCCCGGCATCAATTTTTGATATTACTGCTATAGCAGTAATATTGGCCTACTGTCCATCAACGGGTTAATTTTTGACAACTGAACTTTTTTTTTCTACTGACTGATTGGAAGAAAAAAAATTAATTTAAGTCTAAATAAAAGGAAATTATATTATATATAAATCCTAAATAGTAGTATTTTTGTTTCGTTTTAGAAAGTTGTCACATTTCTGTTCTTGTCGGTTATTTATATTTAAATAATACAATGGTTTACTTAAAATAGAAATACTAAAAAATAAATGGTTGTCATGTGCCGTCTATCTGTTATCAGACAAGCCGCCGAACAGTTCGACTTTTTTTTTGTTAGAATATTACATTTTATGACAGCTCTCGGAACAAATAAAATCTATACTAACAATGTAAAACATCAGCATTTCGTAGTGAGGTAAAAAAAAAATACTTAAATAAAAAATAAAAATAAACATAAAAATATTTTTCCACCATATAAACCCATATGCGCCTAACTAGAGTTGAAGAAAATGACAAATAAATTGGTGTTAATATTACCGCAACTTTTATGTAAAATAATAAAGCACTGCAAGTGTCTTGTTAGTTTGTATTTTACATTGACAGTACTGTGTTCTTCACACGCTGACTTAATAATAATATACCTGAAAAACATTTCCGTTAGTGACTAAAAGTATCCTTGATAAAAAATACCATTAAAAAAAAAATTGCAATTATAAAACCCTCGTATAATGATTTATTATTTAATGTATGTAACTAAAAAACAATATGACAATCTTTAATTATTGTACGGTGCCAGTCTAAAACAATTAAAAAAATTGTGCAAGAACCTCGACAATTTTATTTTAATTATATTTAATTTACATAAATTACATTAAGACCTTTGATCACCGGATAATTGAAATGCAACTTCCATGTCATACTTCAGAAATTGTTTGCTTTTGATAATTAATCATTCTTTATACAATATAAATAGCATATTCCAGTCTGATGCTTTATTCAACGTCGATTCTTTATCTAAATTACTTTGCTGGTCCATTCGATCAATCTGGAAATTTACAACAGCACTCAGCAGTCGCAGTTAAATTGTGCTATTTATTCTTAGATTATTTATTTAGGTTCTTTTACTGAACCATTTTATACCAATCGCAGCTTATTCATGTATAATAAAATGTAATAGATGTTAGAATAACCATTAGCAAATGCATTTCCTGTAAAATATTAGACCTCACTGTTTGCTCCAGCTTTGTTCAATAGTTTTCAATATAACTCTAACAATCATATCTGTACAGCTGTCATATGAGTCCATTAATTCATTAATTTGATGGTGCTCGAGAAAAGCTGCGTCTGAGATGAACTAGTTAGCTATATTTTGTAACTGTTTCTTGGTCCATCGAGTCGCATAAAAAATTGCACACCAGAGTAAAAAAAAAAATATAATTTTTAAGTAGAAGCGATGCTGTCTTATTAATCAATTTATTCTATATAAGTCGACAGTTTAAAAAAAAAAATGTATTTACTTCAATGTGTACTATCAGAGAGTGTATTTATACATTTATAATATTTTTAAGGTAGATGTTACTTTTTTTGTTTTTTTTTTGTAAATCGGTAAAATGCATTATTCTTCCTCAGGATTGTTATTATTACAGTTATTTTTGTTGGAAATCTTTATTAAATTGAGGAAATTGGGTTTTACCGAAAAAGGGCAAGCCGCCAATCTATGGTGTCTTCCTCTTAGATTATCTACCACCACCACATGCTGCAAACCTGAAGTGTATCATATTATTATGCCCTTCACATCCCTTCCCAGTTATCATCTTCCCTAATAATATTCCATATTTTGTTCTCGCCTATGCGTTTCAATATCGATCAGAGTTTGCCCAGTGCACCCTTATTGTTCATATTCGTTGTGTACATTGGTTTGCCTTTCAATTATTGTTTTTATTCTCCCCCTTTTATCTTGAGTCTCGGTTGGGTCGCAATATGTCACCAGCAACGGTATTATTCGAGGCAAGAATAACGCATATATTGTGACAATCAGTACACATACAGCCGGTTTCACCAACTATTGTGAAATACACTCTTAACACATTGTTAGTTAACAATTCATTTAAATTTAACATCTGGTTAAATGAAATAAGTTTCAGCACAACATTATTATTGTTAAATTCTATGTGTTAAGTTAACAAAACGTTAGTTGGTTACCGAAGCGGTTACCTCGATTCCAACGTTCTCATTGGTTATTAAGATATGTGATAACTGATAAGTGATTGTATTATTTAATTTGTCAGTTTGTTATTATTTGACATTCTATTTTACTTTCTTTTAACGTTTTGTTTTATATAAATAATTTATGTATAATGTTTTAACACAATGATTAGATAGTCTTTACCTTTCTAAGTAATTAGTGATAATAATTATTTCCATTGTTATATACAGGACAGGCAAGACATAACAATATTATCTAAATTATAAAAGACAATAAATTATGATATTTGAACCTATAATTCAAGCTCTGCCATTTCTTTTTACCTAATCTGCCTACATAAAAAAACTTCTACTTACCTAATAAAGGGTTATCGAATTAATCTTTTCTATTATTTTCTTAATACCCAATATAAAGAAATTCCTCATCTAATGTGTAATTCATTATAATATACTACTAGTATACTCAGTCAACAAAAATTATAAACAATTTCTGAACTATAATAATTTAAATATTATGTATAAGTACTAAAATACATTTTAACATGCCGATTAACTTTTTAACAAGCCGATTTCGGGTGGTTAATTTTACAATCGTATAACAATGTGTTAAGGCTAACAAATCTCGATGAAACCCAATTTTTATTAACTACTTGTTAAATATAATTACCTAACAATAAGTTAAATTCTTAACAAATGTTG